GCCCTCATTCCTTTTCCCTCTGGTTTCAATACACTCTCTCTAGGTAATATCACCTGGTCCTATGGTTTTAACAGCCATGTCTGTGCGGTGACACCAAGGACTGTGACTCAAACCCAGATATCCCTCCGGAGCCAGATCCATGAACCCCCCTGCTTTTAGGGACCTCCACTTGAATTTCCTGTCAGGCACTTCAAACTTAGTAAGCTCAAAACCGAACTTATTATCAGTGCCCCCAAACCTTCTCTTCTTTCTCTTCTACTTGATATTTTATTAACCAACAGCAGCACTATCTACCCCACTGTTCAAGCCAAAAACACAGCGTTGTCCTTGACTCATCCCCTCTTCCACAATCATTCTAATCTCTCAACAAATGCACTGACTCTAATCTTGGTACATCTGCAATCTGCCCACTTCTGCTGCTGGTTCCCTTGCTTAAGGCCATGGTCATCCTAGCTGAATTACCACCAGAACTTCTTACCTTGTTTCCCTACCTACCATGTCAACACGGAGCCACCAGGTCAAGCAGGGGGTCTTAATTAGAATAAATATTGTAATTAAGGCTTAAAAATTACAATAAATATTGTAATTAAGGTTAAAAAATGGACCTCTTTTGGCAATCTGGTGACATCTATGGGCCCCTCTTTAGAATAATGTTTTCAAATTAGTACAATGAAAATACGGGATATCAAAGGAAACCCTTGGGGCCCATCTCTCTTTGAGAGGTTTTGTGAAACACAAACGTGATCACATCATTTCCCACATGGACACTAGCCCTCACTGTTCACTGTATACCACCTTAGCGCTTCCTTTCCTACCTGACTTCACCCACATTGAATTCACACTCAAAAGACATCATATTGTCTCATCTCTGAGTCTGCACATGCTGGACTCCCTGGTATAAATGACTTTCAGCCCTTCTTCACCTGCCTCTTATATTTTTCCTTCAAGATTCACTCAGCCCAGGCATAGCAACTCACTCAGGAAACCTTTCCAAAAGCCCCAAGTCTGGGTAAACACTCCTCCATGTGCTCCCACTGCACCCTGTCACAATGTTTATCACGTTTTGTTGTCAGTTTCCTGTGCTGGACTTTAAATCCTTGATGATAGGACCCATTGCTTATTCACCCTTACATCCTCTGCAGAGAACCAAGCATGGACCCTCAATAAGTGTTTGCTGCACACATAAGTGAATGAATGGGTGGACTTCCTATATCATTTGCTCAAAGGAAACCTCCTACTCTGCAGACATCACCTGGGATGTCATAAATCACTTTCCCATTTCCAAAGTAGGAGAGCATAAAAATAAATCTATGAAATTTCTATAATTCTGCAAGGGAAAAAATCAATCAGCAGATAAGTATTTGTAAAATAACAGCCAGAAATATCTATATTGAAACATTTTGGGGGAAAAATGTACAACCACTACCACTTTGGGAAGCAAAGTTAGTCTCACACTTACTTCAGCTAATCTTGAATGTTTGTGGACCACCTCTGTTTTATTCATTGGCGTTAGCTGCTGCAAAACACTTCGGCTATTTGTCAAAGCCCGTGTCAATCGGGCAAATTTTGTCCAACCTTAAAAATAAGGAAAGAAAGTCTCAGTTTTTTCACACATGAAGAATACAGAAGCCAACATTCTTGCTAATACTCAAGGGATCTCAGAAAGAGCATAACATGCAGAACTAATTAAAAGTATCCATCTAAAGCATTGTATTGCTACATAGACATCATTATATATTTCAAGTGTAGCTATAAAATAATAAGTAATTTTTATGTGTGACCTTTGTGTTTTGCTCACATCTATTATTTAGTCCCTATAGCCAGGCAGCTAGTTGTCCATAAACTCTGACCTCCCCTTTACATTGTATAGTTTTGTTACTGGGAAACAGCTGTCCAGTTCGGAATACATTTCCCAGCATCCCCTGCATCAAGATGTAGCCATGTTCCTAGTTTTCATCAATGGAATGAAAGCAGAAATGACATGTGTCACTTCCACATATGCAACAACTTAAGAAGCAAGTGAAACTTCTCCACACTTTCTCCCTCCTTCTACTAGCTGTAGGCAAATGACAACAAGTCCCCAAGGGGATGTTGATAACCATGTCAGTCACTCTCACTAAACTGTGGTTCATCTCTCCATCCTCAACACTTGGTACAGGGCCTGGCATAAAATAGGCCATTAACTGATTAATTAACTAATTACTAAAAGTTACATATAACTTTAAAAATAACTCCATTTTTACTATCATGAACATTAACATGAAATATTATCGTGTCTTATTATCATTGGGTTTGGGTTTGGTTTTTGCTTTACTGAGTTAAAATGGTGAGGATGTCTTCAGATGACAATAACTATATTGGCAATAGGTCTATTAAAATATTTCCTGTTGATCATTTCTCTTCTTACATCAAATGAATATTATAATTGTGCTGAATATTTCTAGAAACTTCCAAGTCAATCTTATACTTACTGAAGGTTCATATTTCTAAGGTAGGTAATGTTGCAACTCTTAGTACATCTCATTATTGGATTAAAAGAGAAGCCTACTTTTACTCCCTGTGTGCAATAAGGTTTGGAAAATATTTTTAAATATTGTTCAGAAAATATTTTTAAAAAATAAAAGGAGATATTGAAGGAATAAATTCATTAACACATGGAAGAATACAAACCATCAAATGCCATGTGTTCTTTCTCCCTAGGATCATACAAGAAAGTAAATATGTGAGGAAAGAGAAACATGATGATAAAAGCTTATCATCATCCTCTGGTTTTCTATTTCAAGCATCATGACCATGTACGACTTTTTTAATGAGGAAGCAGCACTTCCTAATTTAAATACAAAACAGCGCTTCTTCAAATATGTCTCTGTATGTGTATATTATTTTACACATGAAGTCAATAAAACCAGCAAATATTTCAGCCCTTTACCTTATTTCAATTTCCTGAAGGAAGAAAAAATGTTAAACTGTGAAAATAAAACACATGCACTTTTTCCTATGGGAAAAATATAACTATCATTGATTAAATAGCAGAAGGAAGCTGAAAGAAAAATGTAATGTTCATTCTTCGTTCTGAAAATTTACCCACGGTGTATTCTAAGAGAGACCACCTTCAAACACAGATGAAAAGGGAGCTTACTGCCTGATGTGACTTTTAGATGCCAGATCTCAATCTTTCTATCTCTGGTTGTCTAGTACCGTCAGTGGCACACATTGTTGTTGAATGAATGAATGAATGAGAACATTAATTTTTAAAAAGTTAAATAGGAACTGATACAGCATCCATATTATATACAGTTAAAGTCAGAATACAAGAAGGAAATATGTTCAGCTCTTGGCAGATACTAGCATGACTCATTTGTATCTGAAGGGAGGGCTTGGGCTTGGAGAAGGTAGAAAGGGCGTGGTAGAGGGCTTGGGAGGAAGCGTGGAGGATTATAACTCTGCCCTTGGAAAGAGAATTGGGGAGCTGCTAACAGGACAAAAAAGGTGGTGGCAATTGTCAAAATGACTCAGACTTCCTGGAAGAGAGAAATTTAGGAGGAAATACTTAGGAAAGATTCCTTCTTCCTAGAGAAAGCAAAGCCAAAGGCAGTCGTCTAATTGAGTAACCATTTATGAGCTTCGCTATCAAAATTCCCTGGGAGCTGGAAAACCAATGAAAAGTCAAGGAGTGTTTTGTTTCAAATTTTAATCAAAGGGAGCACTCAGAGATGAGCTCCCTGAACTGCTCAGTGATCTCTTTATTTGTCTCTGGTTAGGGCTTTCTTGTAGTCCTCAGTTCTAAACAGTTAGCATCTTTCTCAAGACCCCTAACCACCCCTCTCCTCACTCTCAGCAGATTACCTTATCAAATATGTTATAGGCAGGAAAAGAAGACATAAGAAACACAACAGCCTTCAACTTCCCCTCTGTCCCCTTCACCTCTAGACCCACCCACAGCAGCATCCAATTCTTGTCTGTACCTCTATGAACTAGGAGAATTAGGCATTTGCTCGTTCCAGATCATGCACATATTCATGGACACGTAAACGGTTTCTAGACTTTTCACTATCACTAACAATTTCACAGTGAATTTCCTTATGCCTATCCCTTTGTGCTCTTACACACATCTGGAATTGCCCATGTTATTAGCTAAATTAGTTCATTTGATCTGTCACCAACCCCCACTGTACCGTCAAACTTTGAAAAAGTTGAGCAGCCACACCAACTAGGTCAGAGGAAAAAGACAGATCAGCAGTTCTAACTTTTCTCAGCAATACATTTACTGATCGCACCTTTACAGAGACCTAACTGGCGTGACTGATTATTCAGCACAGTTCGCCGATGTTACTTAGATGTGGTCGATACGGGGTAATGTGAACAGACAGCTGAATATGAAGAGCCTAATACTTGCTCTATGAGTTGTTCATGGCATTATGAGAACATTTGTTCTCCTAAAAGCTCAGGATGCCAACTCCTTCTTAATAAAACATTAGTTTAGCTCTATTGGGTTGCAATTAACCTCTCTGTCATGGACTGCGTATTCTTAAAAATAAAAGGAAGTTGCAGCGGCAGTTAAATCAATCTACTAGACTGCAACACAAGACTCTAATCTTGTGTTGAAAAAAGCTTAGGTAAACAATTATACTCTTGGCCAAAGAGACTACATGGTATAATTACCCATATTTCATCTGCTGTTTCCTCTCTAAAGAAAACCATTGGCTTCCCACAAGGGAAAGGTTGCTATTTTTGCTGTTATTCTAAAGGAATTTTTTTTCTCTCAATTATTGGCATGAAGATGCCATAACTATTGGGAACACACTGTAAGTGTCTCGGCAGTTTTGCAATCTGTTTGAAAATACTGTACAGTATAAATGGGCAGAGATTTGGGCCACCTCTTTTAGAACACATATGGATAACCAACAGAATGGATTTCTTGGCTGTAATTTTTCCCTTTTGTATTATTACAAATGATGTATCAGGCACCATTGACTGATAATCTGACCAACAGTTCCAAGACCTCAATACCAGGAACGAAAGATAGGGAAAACACTTTCCCCCTCCCTTGAATTACTAACAGCAAATTCTATTGTTTCAAAACAGTAGGATCCTGTCAGAATCAGAGCGTTCTCAACCTGTGCTTCATTTTTATAGGGAAAAAGGAGAGCAGGGGATTAGGGAGGCCAAGCCCCAAAAGTACATCTCCACTGAAAGGATGAGGCAGCATGCTGCAGTACGGAGAACACTGGATCACAAACCAATCAGACTCTGAGTGTCGAGATCTTCAACAGAAAAATGGAGATGATGATACTAATTTTCAGAATTACAGGAGTGAGCAATAAAGAATACAAAGCTTCTGACACACAGTAACTCCTCTATCAAAACTGGTTTTCCTCCCCTGCAACGGTTTTTGCTACCATCCATCACGGTATAAGCCAAAGGTATTGTTGACATCACTCACTGTCATTTACGTTAGAGGCAAAAATTAATCTAGAGTGAAGTTTTGGTATGATCATAGGATTCATTATGAGGAAGAGCTACACTCAAGTTAGTTGTCTGCCGTCACGTTATAGTTATTACCCCAGTTACAATTTAGAAATAAAATTCACAATTAGCCAGTTTACACAAGTCCTTCAGCCACATGTCTGAGTTTCCTGGTAAATATACCACTACAAGTAGGAGATTGACATCGCTTCCAAACACTTTGTCAAATCCTCAAAGGATGTGGGCCTTTGTCACTGGCCCCTTTTCACAATAAGAAGATAAAATGCCCTTGTTCTGTGATGAAAAAAGTTATATTCTGGCTTTACGGTGTGTAATTTCCCTTGTCTGTTCTGCACCCTAAAACACTATTTCCTATATCCTAGACCAAGGTTTAATTACCTAAGTAGTTGCTGAAAATTTTGGAAACACCCTCAACCCACTCCCTTGCAAGCATCCTCAACTCCCTGACCCTTCTCCCTGATTCTTGAGCTTCTTGATTCCTGCTCATCTGACCAAATCCCAATTCTGGTTAAATCCAACCCACCTACTTTGGCACCTAGACACCTCTGACTAAATATGGGTGAACTAAACGCATAATCATGCTCGTAGACACTAATGAAATGTATGACCACTAGCCTCACATGGGCCTTAGTGTTGCCCAGCAAATCTGCTGAATTTAACCTTGGCCACTCCATTCTCTACACAACCATTTCATACCTCCTCTTCCTTCTTATCCTTTCAACACCCTCTCACCTCCTCACCATTCTTATTCTCAGTTGATAACTGCATTTCCTCTTTTATACTGAGGAAATAAGAGAAATCAGCAGAAAGCTTCTATTATATATTTACTTGTTTGTGACCACCCTCCCCCCTCCATTAGATTGTAAGGGAAGGAACTTTGTTTCTCCAAGACCTAGAATAGGGCCTGCACCATCCTGTGCGTTCAGTCAGCATTTCTGGTTGGGGAAAACAGATAACATAAACAAAAGGAATAAATATTCCTAGAAGAGTCATGAAAAGGTTCACTTTAAGTAACTCTGGTGCCCAAGGCTGAATTAAAAGTAAGGGTATTGTCTCCAAATTTAACGCTCTAGACTCAAATTACTTTGATACTATGCTGTTATCATGAAATCTCATCTGCCCTTTCCCAAAAGTTTCACGTTCCCCTTTGTTCAACTTAAAAAGTTGAAAGATGCATTTTGGTGCCAAGTTTTCAAAGCATAATTTCCTATACTGCTAGTTTCATAGGGATAGTAGGATGATTGCTTAATGGCATAAATATTTTATTTCTATTGAATTTTTCATATTAAATTTACAACTCACATGAATAATAGAAAGTAGCTCATATACACCATTCATAGTTACATTGTGCAATACTTCTTTAGAAATCTGTTGTGTAATTTGAAAGGTGTGGAGGAGTCTCAAAATAAAAGTCTACTTAAAATAAGCTCTTCCACTACAAATTCTGGCACTGAAAAGAGATATTTTGCTCTAATGCTTTTCACAATGGAGTTTGATTTTGTCTATAAATTCTAATTTACATGTCTACTGAACACACAGTTCAGAAATCAAGTGGTCTGAGTTCTCTGGAGTTTATTCAAATGTCATATTTTGTAAGAATAAATTACACATTTAAAAGAGAAAGAGCTCTATGATTCTGATGGGAGGATGCAGAGAGACAGGGGTGGTGGCAGATAAATGGAGAGATATTAATTTGAGAAATAAAAGTCAGTCCTTCAACACTAGCACACTCTCCCCAACCTCACTGTAAAATGCTACCAACGTTCAGTTTCCATAAATAGACACCACCATTATTGTTTCAGCAGGTCAAAACTGTGAGAAAGTATTGTGCTTTTCTTCGCCAACTTTATCTGTGGCATGAAATCATTTAAAGTAAATGAAAAAAAAACAATAATCATCAAATATAAATGAAAATTTAAGTATAAATATTTAGGGGAGAAATTCTGTGACATTAAAGCTTCTTAGTCAGGGTGTCATTCATGTAAGAAGGCAAGAGAAATTCAGCTGAGAAATAGGTTAGGCCACAAATCATGTGCCAATCAGCTATCTTTTATTTTAAAATTTATCACTTTAGGGTACATTCAGCTGTTAGCTGTAGGTTTTTCATAGACGTTCCTTATCAAGTTGAGGAAGTTCCCCTCTAGCCTACTTTGCTGAGAGTTTTCATCATGAATGAGTGCTGGGAATTGTGAAATGCTTTTTCTGTGCCAACTGATACGATCGTATGAGTTTTCTTCTTTAGCCTGTTGTGGATTACAATGATTGATTTTTGAATTTTGAACCAGCTTTGCATATGTGGAATAAATCCCACTTGGGTTTGTGTGTAATTCTTCTAATACATTATTGGGATCTATTTTTGTTGAGGATTTTTACAACTACATTCATGAGAAACATTGATTGGTCTGTAATTTTCCTTTCTTATAATGCCTTTTTCTGGGTTTGGTATGATGGTACACCTGGCCTCATAGAATGAGTTAGGAGAGTTCTCTGTACTACTATTTTCGGGAAGAGACTGTGTTTTCACCAGTGAAACCATCTGCACTTCTTATTTTGGAAGTTTATTCATTATTAACTCAACTTATTTAATAGATATAGGACAATTCAGGTTATCTGTTTCTCCTAGGGTGAGTTCTGGTAGTTTGTACCTTTTAAGAGTTGGTCCACTTTAACTAATTTTCAATTCAGTGACTACAGAATCATTCAAGGTTTTTTGTGTTTGTTTGTTTGTTTTTCGCATGCTTTCATGTCCATGGGATGTGCTGTGATAGCCCTTGTTTAATTTCTGACATTGGTAATTTATGTCTTCTCCTTTTTTCTTGGTTAGCCTGGCTAGAGGTTTGTTAACTTCAATATTCTTTTCAAAGAGTAAGCTCTGGGTTGTAGTCATTCTCTCTAATGTTTTGTTCTATTTTCTATTTCATTGATTTCTACCCTAAGGTTCATTACTTCTTGTCTTCAGCTTTCTTTGGCTTAAATTGCTCTTCTTTGTCTAGTTCCCTAAGGTGGAAGCTCAGGTTATTAATTTTATATCTTTCTTCATTTCAAAAATATGCATTGAATGATACACATTTCTCTCTAAGCACTGCTTTTGCTGCATCTCAAATATTTGATAAGTTGTATTTCCATTTAGTTCAAAATATTTTTCTAATTAAAGGCTTTTTTTGGACCCATGGGCTATAAAGAAATGTGTTAGTTCCCAAATATTTGGGGATTTTCTAGTTGTCTTTCATCGTTTTCTAGTTTAATTCCATTATAGTCTAAGAACATACCTGGTAAGATTTTTACTTTTAAATTTGTCAAGGTGTGTTTCACGGCTAGAATGTGATCTAGTCAGTGACTGTTCCTTGTTATGTTTGAGAAGAACATGTATTCTGCTGCTACTACATGGAGCACCATGAATTTTAAAACAAAGGAGCATTAAACCTAAGTACTATTAGAAGATTATTCTATTAAAAATAGTCTTTATTTTTTCTACTTTAAACTTCCTAGACACTGGGTCTATGAGTAAAGGCAGAGGAACAGGTAGTATGGGTCCAAAAATAAATACTTTATTCAGTCTTACAGGAGATGATTTAATTCACACATTTGCAGAAACACTCACAAATGAATTGTTCTCTGTTATACTTTAAATGGTCTGCATATCATAATATTTTCCTCTTGCAATTTGATGCTAACCATAGACTGAGCAGGTATTACACATATAATAACATATACATATATAATATATATAATTCACATATTATATGAATTTATATCCAGGGAATAAACCTAATAAAAATTTTTCTATAATTATGGTTACAGCTGAAATGATTAAAACTTGTGTCAGTTTTTTTAAGAGGTAAGAAAAGGCAATGTTCACTAAATGTAACAAAAATATTTGATGTTTTGTCTCCTAAGAGATTATTAAAAATAACATTTCATAAAAACTTCTTCCAAGGGTATTTGAAATTCTTCATTTATATGACACCAGTTGCTAATATAAACATAACTGGAGAGAATAAAATGAGAGTAAATTACACAGAAAAGTGGGTAAAAGCTCATGCCACTGACTAATGTTTCCTACAGCAGTCTCTGAGTATTACAGTCAGTAAGACTCCAATCAGAACGTTTGCATTTTGCCAGCCACTCTCTGGATGACAGAATTTTTCTTTACATAATTTAGCAACATCTACTCAAGAGAATCTACAACAACCAAATAAAGGGAGAAGCATAACCTGCAAAAGTCAACTAATCAAACTCTAATCAATGTAACAAAATTTAATCAACTAATCAACTGTGTTCTAACAGAACTTCACCGAAACAATCCCACAAGCTGTTTTACTTTCTATTTCTAAAGCTCAGCATGATAGAAGTTGTTGAAACTCCTATTATATTGATTTGAAATTAACAATGCTTTATGAAATCTCTTCCTTATATCTTAACGTCAATTCTCGTATTATAATTTAAATTAACCAACTATTATTTCAACATTCTACTTCCATTCAAATAATATGATTGAATAAAACATTCTGGACAATTACTTGAATGAATATAAAGCAAAAGAAGGGCTACAAAGTAAAAATTTGTTTTCCAGTTCAACCAGTGGACTTTGTTAAAATAATAAAATAATAATAGTAATAATAATAATAGTAATAAATTTAAGTGATAGGCTAATTCTTAAATATGGTAATTCCTTTGAAAATTACCTTTTGTTGAATCATCCTCTATTGGCTGTTTGAACAATGTAATATCCTTGAAAGTGCATAGAAACAAAACCACCTTCTCATGTTCATTTCTTATTGGTGCAATTTGCATATAAAACCAAACAGGGGTTCCTGTTAAAGAGAGAAAAGACAGTGGAGTGTGACATACACCACAATGATTTGGCCTCCTGCTTTCCTTCTTTCAGCTGCCAACTGCTATGCCAGGAATCAGCACCAAAACAACAGTATTTTAATTGCTGAAAAGGATTTTTTAAAAAAACTTTAATTTTGTATCAACTACCAGTTGATTTTGATACAACTACCAAAAATTAATAAATACATTTTTCAACCCAAAATATCAAAATGGCGGTTTCACTATTTAAGCAATGCCAGCATTACCTTTAGATCTGAGTCCCTACACCACTCTTACCAACTCCTTTTGATAGTCTCGCCAAGTGTGAGCATTCCTACGTGCTTCTCCTTGTCACTTTGACAAGTGTTTCCATTTGACTTCAAAAGTCAATACTTGATGTTCTGATAAGTATTCTTTCTGGAGGAACATCTGAAATGCTTTTCTATCTCAAGTCTCTCTCATCAGTCAGATAAACTTACAAGATAACTCTATGGGTCTGACTGCATCCCCACATCAGAGAAAGAGAACTTCAGCAACCCTTGAGCCTTGATATACACAACTATACCAGATGCCTTTAAAGTCATGTTAAAGGGGAAAAAAATGTCCCTAGTCCTTGAAAGTCTCAGGCATCTTCATGATACACTGCTCCCACCTCTCTCACTCAAAGCATGAGGTTGGACCTTGTCATCATGTTTTTGAAACAATGGCTCCTGCAGACTTCAGAAGACACAGAGTTTCAAAGCATTCAAGGCTTAGGATTTGGACAAATCAGAAACTGGAATTATGTCAAATAATAAATATTTGAAGACACAAGAAATGCCTTCAAAGGAATAATTACCCATTAAATGATAAAGCACTGAGGGAACATTCCATCAGAATCAAAAAGACACATTTTCCATTACAGTCTTTCCAAGCCACAGTGCAGTAAAGCCACTCCAAAGACTCTGTCTTAAAGACATTCATTCTTGTCAGGTTTGGGATTGGGGAGTGAACTGTACAGCTGTTAATAGTCTCTAGGAAAGAGTTGATAGCCTGTTAGTGAGATCTCCAAAGAAAACCAATAAGAAGCACCTCCATATCTCTGGCCAAAAATTATCAGGTAATATCACCACAAAGGGGAATTTTCCATTTACATGAGAATAGGTGACTTAACTACTGGGTGCTAGAAGTCAGAGAATTAGAGAGGAGATTTCTATAAATATTCAGTTTCTGACAACCCGGTCCTTTGCAACCTGAGGGGGCCTACAGAAAGACATGGCCTTTTCCAAAATGATTACAGGATGAGACAGGGATCTCAAAAACAATCACACCATCGCCCAGAAAGGCTTGCTCTTTGTTTTCTGCTTCTTATTTTACACAGTGTGTCCAGGAACTGTGAGTGATGTGCACAGTTTGACAAATCACCAGACCCAGACGCTGGCAGATACATGGCCTGTGGCTGTTCCAACACAGTGAGCTTGAGGCAGCACGGTCATAAACAGAGAAAAAGGGGCATTAAAAATAAGTCGTTTTCCAAGGTCTGTTAGAAATCCAAACAGAAAGAGACGATGCTACAGTTCAGACCTTCCTATGAAAACTTCAAATTTTGGCATAGATTCAGGGCTATTTTTAAAATTGCTTTCAGATATCAAGGTAGAGTTTTTTCAAGTTGAGTTACAGAGTTAGACTTCCCTAAGTAGGCTGAGTTTTTGCTGAGTGGCTAATCCATATTCTGGATTTGGGGTTCAAGGTGATGGGAATTCCAGGAGGGTTAGGCAAAGAGGTCTATAGCTGCTGGGAACTCAAGGCAATGCCCTGGCACAGATTATCTGGAGTTGCCCCAGCTATGACAGTTCTGCCTTTGTGTAAACACAAAGATCCATTTTCAGTCATTATCCCAGAGCCACTGCTTCCTTTCCAACAGTAGAAGAAGCTCCGTCAATCAGAGCAATGGATCTAAAGAAGAGAGGCTGCAAACTGAAATGTCAATCGTGACACATATTATTAAATCAGATACCTCAATCTCTCCGTTGGCAAATGGTGTTTAGCCTAATTATTCAACGGAAGAGTTGGGAGGACTTGGCATTCAGGCATCCCCAAAACAGTTTTCTACAGACATGTGAACTTTTCTAACATTAAAAAATGTCCTAAACATACTTTTTTCAGTTGACTTTCAAAAGCCTTTAGCTAACTATTTACAAGATTTTTTAAAGCTGCTTTTTAAAGTATAGTAGAACTCCATTGCAATACATGGGTAATTTCTACTCTTCATATTAAAGAAAAAAAAAACTCAATGCAGATACTATCCAGAAGAGTTTTAATCTATAGTGCTGTGGGCTATAATTCCTACTGGCACTAAGCAGACAACTACACGTATATAGATAGTTACCTGAAAAGAATCAGACAGGCCTGAACAAAGGCCAGATAATTATTTCAAGCCATCAAACTAAAGCAAACCATCCAAACTACCTTGGAAGGAAACTTTTGGGAATGAAAATTCAAGTTACTGCTAACATGATTTAAGAGATATAAACAAAACAAAATTTTCACAAAGCTATTTTTGAGAAAAATCAGAAACTATGGACTTGTCTTTGAAGCTTTAAAATCAGAAAAAAATTTGGTTATTCTGCTTAAATGCCAGGGTGAACTGATTTTAGTAACATGGAATACTTTTAAATTATTTGCTAAACTCCAGGCACATATCTAAGTCATTCAAGGAATAACAGCCCTACATGAAAATGAAAGGGAGGGGTGGGGGGAAAATTCAAGTGGTAGAGTACATGCTTAGCATGCACAAGGTTTTGGGTTCATTCCCCAGTATCTCCTTTAAGATAAATAAATAAAAAACCTAATTACCTCCCCACCAAAAAAATTAAAATTAAAAAAATTTTTTTAACAAAAGGGAGTTTAGGCATACAGGTCTTCTACAAATAATTATCAGTATTTGGACCTGGTGAAAAAGACCCAGAAAGCACTAGAGCTCAGCTTTTCTCTTGTAGAAGACAGAGCTGATCATTCAGAATGGATTGCTTTCTTTTTTCTTTTTTTTTTAATTTTTAAATTTAATTTATTTGGGGGGGTGGTAATTAGATTTATTTATTTTAATGGAGGTACTGGGGATTGAACCCAGAACCTCACACATGCTAGGCACACACTCTACCACTGAGCTACTACCCTCTCCCCCTTAGAATGGATTGTTTTCTAGCTGACAAGCCAACAGACATTTGGCTATGATGTCAAAGAGAAATACCTTTTCAGCCTTGATTCTAAAATGAAGGATAAGATGAAAGGACATTCCATAGGCAAAACCACTGAGGACAAATGTCCCTGTTACCAGGTGCACTGCTGTGAAGCCTATGGGTGTTGTTACCCCTATGATAGTCTATTAATAAAAAGAGAGACCCAAATTCAATTCTAAATATTCCATAGAGAACAAATGTTTAAGGTACAATGGAGAAGATAAATTATGCTCCACAAAACCCAACCAGCATTAAATATGGTACAAGTGTTTCCTGTTGAAGCTAAAATGATTCCTGAACTGGGGAAGAATTTAGTAACCATCAATTTCCACTAAAGATAAAAACTGGCTTTGCAATCATTTACCATTAACACTAAATAAATTAACTCATCCCATGCAGGGACTGTTCATTTAAAAAAAAAAAAGAGGTCAGTTTAGGAATACAGCAAAAAGAAATAAATTAAGTGACTATTCAAAGAAAACATTAGAAAGGAGACTGGTTGATGAATGTACTAGTTGCTTTTTCATTTGGCTGGTTTTTTTTTCCCTCCAAGCTCCAACAGAGAGTCTTATCAGACTCTCCCGTAAGTATTTAAGACCATATCATGCTGTCTTATGTGATTACATAATGGACAACTGACCACTCACAAATCCCATCATCAAGAACACCACACAACAGTCAACACAAAGTTACTGGATGTGAATGACCCATTCTGAAAGTAATAATTACTTTCATGAGCCTTCCACACAAAACAGTCTGAGTCTAAAAAAAATGTCCTACTGGTAAAGATTCACCTTATATACCATGTATTCACATGTCGTCTATGTATGTGTAGAAAGGTAATCACACATACCCATTGACACCAATCAACTTTCCCTTTAATCATAAGAAGAAATGAATGCATTTCTCTGACATTTTTAGTTGCTGTCACATAACTACAGGATCTTTACCATGGGTATTAATCACAAAACATTTTGCCATCTGACACAAAAAAGTCACGTTCAAAATGCACTGTATTGTTCTTTCATTTCTCAAAAGGTTGCTTTTTATAAGTATTATTTATTAATTTTGCTATCTAATTTTACCAGTACCTCCTGCCAAAAGAAACAATAAAAGTTTTATATTCTCTCTACCCTATAACTTGACTACCACTTACTGAAACATAGTATTAATCGAGTTGACATGTCTTACTGGTAATTTAGATACCTACTGTTTTTCTTGTACAAAAGAACTTCAAAGCAGTTTGACTCGTAGTTGTCAAAAGTCTGCCTGACTTTCTCAATGGTTTTCTTGTCAGTCAATTCCCCATACATAAAACTGGAGAGAGGAAAAAGAAATCCATTTCAGTTTCATGTTGCGTTTCAGTGCTACATAAAATCATCTATTTGTCTTTTTCAAATTAGGTATTCAAAATTAGTTACAAAATATAATGTTGCTCCCACAAAATGAATTAAAATATTGAAACTAAGTTCTAATCATGATTGTTAAACTGCTTGCTAAAAGCTAGCTTTAGAAATTATTTTGAACATAAAGAGAGAGAAAGACGCAGTCCTCACTTTACACAGGTCCAATATGCACCAATTTTAGTTACCATGCTTTAGATAAATAATATAGTTTCCCAACAGCACAGTTCAAACTTCAGTTTCCACAATACATTAACTGTGAATGATTGCATAAAGTATAAGATTTGCTGCTAGCTTATCGGTCTACATGTCACTAGTAAATAACAAGGACACATTACAATCAGTGACCAATCCCATCACTTGTTTTAGAGCCTGTCAGTATTACTGTGCATCTACTACTAAGTTCCTGCACAGACAGCAAAGCATGTAGCTGTGTTGTCTTTTTGTCTCTCTGTGGTAAACTCACGTGACGTTTTACAAAAATAGATAATCAAAGGCAAGAATTCTCAATCAAAGATGAAAGTCTCTCAAAGAAATGAAAAACGATAATGCTGGAAGTGAAATTCAAAAATTAAACATAAATGAAGTGCCTTCTTCTATAAGAATAGCAGGAATGTTAATACTGTTGTCATTTGAGAGACTCTAGATACGCACCCAGAAAAACTTAGTGACAACAAACTTATCAACATAAATCAGGAAAATTGTGATAAAAAGAATCAAGGTTTCCCAAGGGAAATAATGCTAGGGTCAAAAAAAAAAAAAACCAACAAAAAAACTTCACATTAAACGAGGCCTAAGAGGTAGTTCACAATACTGAAAGTCATAGGAAAAAAGAGTTGAAGTGGATTCAGACTCAAAAAGGAGTATGATTGCTAACAGATAGGAAAAAATACCCTCTTGATATTATAAGTTATATTACAAGAATGCAGGTATGTTCAAATAACTCATGGTAGCTTTTTACAAACAAATGAAACATTTTAATTCTCAATGTCTCTAATGTTCTAAGGCTCAATGTACTAAATAAATACCAGTTTTACTATTATTTTCATTTCCGTGCAGTTATAACCAACAGAATTTTTTTAATATTTTGACAATTTTAAAGGTCACAGAACAATCACAATTTTTTTCATTGAGTACTAAGACCACATTACATGGTTTCAGCTTGCATGGTCTTTTTTATGCTCCCAAACTACAATGAAATGTGAAGACTCCATATTACACATATACTGCATCAGCTTTCTCATTATTTATGAGGATTTTTTTTGAGATATGCACAAGTGTAGCTAATGGGAGGAAAATAAAGGAAACAAATTGAAGGAGACACATGCTATTACTACAGCTAGAAGAACTCACAAAGACAGATTAAAGAGTGAGCATCCACATCCCACAAATAGTTCCTAATTTTTGAAATTATCTATTTTCCTAAGAGAATCTCACCAAGAGTCTGCGAATCTATAAAACAGAACTCAGTCAAAGACTAAGCCTCTAAAACTCTGTTCACAACCATCAAGTGTGCATCTGGTTTTAGATACCTAGTTCTACTAGTTGCTATAATATTCCAGACCATGTCTTCCACCAGGAAAAAAATAGGTGGCACTTGACTAAGTTTTTGAAGGCTCAAATATATCTTTGCTATTGCTTTTCTTCCAGTTTTCAACAAGTTAGCTTATTGGCCAGAGGTAGATCCAAGTGTGGTGGAGCCTGAAGCAATTTTAGGGGCCCTCTTCAAGGAAGGGAATACAAAATTATAAAACAAAATCAGGTAGAGAGCCTTGAATGACACGCACTCAAGTGAAAGCCCCTGAAGGTTAAGATTTATCATCCTTATGGGAAATCTGCTCCTGAATGTCTCAACCCGGAACATTTACAGCATGAAGAGCACAGTTTGTTAGCAAGTTGTAGCAGAACTAGCAGCATTCAACAGTGCCGCCACATCACAACTAGACATTACAGAGTCATGACCATCTTATGGTAACACTAACCAAGCAACTAGAATTCTAGAAACCAAGAAAGTAGATGAGGTCAACCAAAGATCATCCAATCTGTATCCCGCATTGTCAATGATAATATTTCTATCTTTTATAAAAAAAGAAATTTAGTTGTCATTATAATTGTAAAATAAGCTCTTGCTTATTCTCTTACATCTCAGAATAGAATGACAGACTCTAACTCCATAATCCTACAGCCAGACTAACATACGAAGCTTCAGACACCTTGAAAAGCCACCATTCCCGTCAAAGACAGAATTCCAGCTCATCCAAGTTTTATGAAAATCTCTTGAGGGCATTAAATTAAATTAGAATTCCTTGGTTAAAGAGCATAAATTCACCTTCCTTCCCTCCCCCAATATAAAACACTAGTTTAGTACTGTTAATATTTTTTACAGACAGGTAAACTTTTGCACTGACTGTTATTTTTAATCTAAAGGCTCTAATAAAGAGAAAACTTTAAAACACACATACAAAAAAAGAGAGGACTTAAATTAACTAAATGTTTGTGGTTTTAAAGAAAAGAACCACCACTCAGAGTTCTATGGTTCAATAAACGAAGACACAATAATCACAACTGGCCAACATACAAACATAAAAAAGAAAGCATCTATAACAAGTAACTAGGATAAAAATTGTGGAAAATTAACTCTAAAAAGATTAAAAAATAAGTTAACTCAAATTTTAAAAAAAGAAGCTGTCTCAGAAATTAATGCAATAATACCACTTAAGAAGAATTACAAGTTGGATTCAGCTAAAATTCTGAAAAGGTGAAAACAAGCAATTTTTCAAAAAAAAAAAAAACTCTGAAAATTCTGTAATATATTCTTCTTTAGCCCTCACCATGCAGAAATAGCCTGTCCCAAGAAAGTAGACATTTTAAGGAAGAATCCCTGGTTATTACAATCTGAATAATTTTTCAAAAATAGTCTTTTATTTCTTACATTGTTTTTCTCATACTTCTTATTTTAAACTTATTAAACCACATATTTCCAGTGACAGAACACATATTGGAAGTGGTCAAATGGAGAAGTTAAATAATAAAACGTTATTTCAAAACGAGCTATAAAGAATGACTGAAATGTATTCTCCATCCTTCCAAGGCAAGCGTTTTGGAGGTTAATTCAAACTATGAAAGTAGTTTCACCCAAAGTTGTTCACACCATACTGACTAAATCAATGCTTCTGCATACTCTGAGGGTATGACACATTTGCTCATTTGCTAAATTTTTTTTTAATGTGTAAATGTTGAATATATCTTTACCCAAGGTTTCCTGCATCCTAACTCCGGATGGCTAAAGCTCAGTGCAGTTTTGAATGGTTAATGGAATTTGAAGCGAACCAAGACTTAGAAATGATAATCAACAAGCTTTAGAAACTATGTATCTATATAATAATTTTACACAGTTTTCATTTCTCTTATTGAATATCCTCCAGCAATACATAATAGGAATATTTTTTAAATTACAGAACTTCAAATTACTCTCTAAGACAGATCGCCAAGCTCCCCTTCAGTAATTATAAATGACTTCTAAAACGGCACTGTTATTTTATTGGAAGAAAAATAAAATTAGATGCACAGAAGCTATCTATCCTTGCTATTATATGGAGCAGCCGTGATATAACACAGGACCGCTGCACTTACAGGACCACTTACAAACTGGATAATTCATGGACAAGTTGTATAACTTCTCTCACTCAGTTTCCTCATCAGTAAAATGACGATAATGTTAATATAACTCAGAGGGTGAGGATTAAAAGGATAATGCACATGAAGTTGCAAATTATAATGTACTGTACAATGGCAGAATTATTACTGGAATGCTTCTTATGGGTGAGGTTAGAAGGCCCTCCCAGCCCCAACCCTTCTCCCTTGCTCCTCTGCAAGTCTAGGGTAAGGGCTGGGCCACCCTTGCTAACAGGCAGGGTCATTGGGTCTTGAAGGGATATGCACATCATTTTGTGTGTCTTCTTTGTGAACCCATGAAGTTGAAGTATAAACTCACCCAGTGCCTTCTCCTGGATAATCTGGCCACAACCATGGATATCTTGCCATACAACTAACTAGTGGGAAGATTTGGTCTTGGGAGTAAGGGAGAAGATTTCCTATGGCTTAGGCCATATCTGCTTGCCTGAGCATTTGGCAATACCTTTTTCATGTATATCCGACTCAGAAAACGTCTAGACACAGGTGGCTTTGGTTTCTAGCAGGATTTACTTATTCTTGGATCCCTCAATCTCTCAAACAGGCCTCTTTACGGTAACTAACAATAAGGATGACTAGAATGTTGACAGACTTCCAAGGGACAAAGGAACCTTACAAACTGAAAAATACATAATCTAATCATGAGTGCTGCCAATAACCTGTCTTTATCTGCTAATGGCAGCAATGTCCCTGGACTAAGCGCACAACATTCCGTCCCACGGGCAACGGGAAATATCACGCATAGGCTGCAGCTCACAGCCTAGCAAATGCTCCATCACAGAAATCACACGTGCTGACTTAACAATACGTGGTCTCCAGCTCAGCATCAGCCACATGAGTAAAGTCATCACAAAAGTTAATGGCAGGATGGGCTGACATCTGCAATCAAAGGATCAAAAAACAAGAAGCCTGAGAGTGAGGCATAAGCCTGAGAGGAGAGTGAGTTTAGAAACAAACAAGAACACGGTTTTCAAAATCTGAAAGAGGTAATTTTATAATAAATCAAAGCATTACATACTTTATACAGTGGATTACAGTCTAAAGGTTTTACGACCCATTAATTTACAGGAGCTTAAAAGGATTTAGGTAGAGTCATAAGTGGTAGATCCATGACATGTAATTAAGGGAAACTAGGGACAGAACCGGACCGCTCTAACCTTTGGAGTGGGACATCACTGCGGCACCTCAGCCCTCCAGCACTTCCCTCAGTGCCACTGTGTG